ATGGTGGGGGGGAGAGGGAGATGTTGGGGTGGGCATGGAAATGACGGGGAGAGATGGTGGAGAGAGTGATACTGTGGGGAGAGATGGTGGGGGAGAGAAAGAGGAGGCGTAGAGAGAGAGATGTTGCGGGGGAGAGGGGAGGGAGAGAGAGATATGGGGAGAGAGAAAGACTGGAGAGAGAGTGAGAGAAACAGAGCGAAGATGAGGCTGAGAGAGTGAGAGTCAGAGAGAGAGAGACAGAGATTGGTAAAGAACAGGAGAGGCAGAGGAACAGAGTGCGAGGGAGACAGAGACTTAAAGAAAGAGACACTGAGAGAGAGAGAGAGAGAGGGAGGGTGGGGGAGATAGAGAGAGAGAGGGAGTGTGTGAGGGAGAGAGAGAGGGAGGGTGTGAGGGAGAGAGAGAGTGAGAGACAGGGAGGGTGGGGGGAGAGAGAGAGGGAGGGTGGGGTAGAGTGTGTGTGTCAGGTAGAGAGATACCAGAGAGTGAGAAGGTAGAGATATCCCCAAAATTCTCTAACCCACAGGCATATTGAGAGATTCTGGCAGAGGTGGATAGTTTCTTGATAAGGGGGTGAAAGGTTATGGGGAACAAATGGGAATATGGATTTGAAGTTACAAATAGACCATCTGTGGTTTATTGAATGATGGAGCAGGATGACAATGATTTATAATTTCACTGCTCCCAGCTCAGTTGGTATCTCAGAGGTGAAGGATGAAAGCTGCAGCATTCCTATTCTGGGTAACTCGATGTGGGTTTGGATGTGTCCAGGGAGCTGGGTCTATATTGGATACAGCATCTCCTCCCAGTGGGTCAGTGCACAGTGATGACAGTATCTCAGTTTGGATACTTTCTGTACTACAATGTCGAGGTTACATCATTGGGCTGGTTCAAATCCCATTCTGGACTGTTCCAGAGTTTGAAAATTAAAGATCTGGGAAGTGGTAGAAGTCACCTCAAAGCTGTTGGACGGTCATAAAAATCCAGCTGGGAGACTGCTGTCCTTTGGGAAGGGAAAGCTGCTGACTTTACTAGGGTTTGAAAGGTGCTGTCTGAGGATCTTTTGTGAATTTCTGCAGTGCATCTTGTAGATCGTACACACTGCTGCTACTGAGCGTCGGTGATGGAGGGAGTGGATGTTTGTGGATGTGGTGCCAATCAAGTGGGGGCTGCTTTGTCCTGGATGGTGTGAAGCTTCTTCAGTGTTGTTGGGGCTGCACTCATCCAGACAACTGGGGAGTATTCCATCACACTCCTGACTTGTGCCTTGTAGATGGTGGACGGGCTTTGAGGAGTCAGGAGATGAGTTACTTGCCGCAGTATTCCTAGCTTCTGACCTGCTGTTGTGGCAACTGTGTTTCTTTGTTGAGTCTAGTTGAGTTTCTGGTCAATGATAACTCCAGGATATTGATAGTGGGGGATTCAGTGATGGTAACACCATTGAATGCCAAAGGGCAGTGATTAGATTGTCACTTATTGGTGATGGTCATAGCCTGGCATTTGTGTGGCACGAATGTTACTTGCCACATGTCAGCCCAAGCCTAGATATTGTCTGGATCTTGTTGCATGTGAACATGGACTGCTTCAGTATCTGAGGAGTTGTGAATGGTGCTAAACATTGTGCAATTATTGGTGAACATCCCCATTTCTGACTTTATGATGGAGGGAAGGTCACTGATGAAGCAGCTGAAGATGGTTGGGCCTAGGACACTACCCTGAGGAACTCCTGCAGAGATGTCCTGGAGCTGAGGTGACTGACCTCCCACAATCACGACCATCTTTCTATGTGTCAGGTATGACTCTAACCACTGGAGCGCTTGTCCCTGATATCCTTTGATTCCAGTTTTGCTATCAATCTCACCTGAAAGATGCCAGTCATTGGTTCAAAGTGGTGCCTGGCATCACTCGCACAAGGCACTTGGGATGGACAATAAGTCTTGAAGCTGCCAGGAGGCTGCAAGCTAAGAAATGCCTATGTGTGGTATTTGAATGAGAGTCGGCTGTTTGGCTGCTACTTACCAGAATGACAGGGGTACTGTCAAAGATAATCTGCATGTTGACAAGGACAACTGTGATTCCACTGAGCTGCTGGAAGACCCTCATGAAGACTGAAATCAGCATGGGCTTGTAGATGTGGCGTTGACTTAATTCAGAACATGAAAACCGACTGACCTGTGTGGTGATAGAGTTACAATCTCACTCTGCAAAAGAACCTGCAATTCTACCAGAGAGCACCCTCTCACCATTTACAGCTGATGCAGTATGTTCGAGTTCATTGGCAAGGGTTTTATGGCAGAAAACTGGTCGAATCAGACAGAGTCAGTGCGGTTTTGTGGAAGAGAAATCATACTTGACAAAGCTATTGGGAGTCTTTGAGAATGCAATGAGTAGAGTTGATGAGAGGGAGCTAATGGATATGTTTTATTTGAACGTTCAAAGGCTTTCTGATAAGGTCCCATATAAGAGACTAACACCTTCACGGAATCGGGGGTAGTGTACTGAGATGGACACAAAACTGGTTAGCAGACAGGAAACAACAATTTGGAATGAATGGGTCTTTAACTGAATGACAGGCATTGACCAGTGGGGTACCACAGAAATCAGTGCTAGGACCCCAGCTATTCACAATATATGTTAACGATTTAAATGAGGGAACTAAATGTAATGTCTCCAAGTTTGCAGATGACACAAAGCTGGGTTGGATGGTGAGCTGTAAGGAGGATGCAGAGATACTACAGTGTGACTTGGACAGGATGAGTGAGTGGGAAAAATCCATGGCAAATACACTGTAATGTGGATAAATGAGAGGTTATCATTTCAGTGGCAGTAGCAAGAGGGCAGATTTATTGTCTGTAAATTGAGAGAGGGGAATGTTCAACGGGATTTGGGTGTCCTCATGCACTAGGCACTGAAAGTAAGGGACAAAAAAAACTGCAGAATCTGGAATCCAAGGTGGACAAACAGGAGGCTGGAAAAACACAGCAAGCCAGGCAGCATCTGGAGGAAAGGAGCAGTCAATGTTTTGGGTATTATCCTTCTTCAGGACTGTCCTGCTGAAGGGTAATACCTGAAACGTTGACTGCCGAAAGTAAGTGTGCAGGTGCAGCAGGCAGTGAAGAAGGCTAATTGTGTGTTGGTCTTCATAGAGAGAGGATTCGAGTACAGGAACAAAGATGTCTTGCTGCAGTTATACAGAGCGTTGGTGAGGCCACGCCTGGAGTATTGTATCAGTTTTGTCTCCTTATCTGAGAAAGGATATTTTTGCTGTACTGTAGAGAGAGTGTAGTGAAGATTTACCAAATTGATTCTTCGGATGGCAACACTGACGTAAGAGGAGAGATTGAGTTGTTAGGATTGTATTCACTGCAGTTTAGAACAATAAGGGGGAATCTCATAGAAACCTGTAAAATTCTGACAGGTGCACACCTGACAGATTAGATGCAGGAAGGATGTTCCTGATGGTGGGAGAATCCAGAATTTGGGTCATAGTTTAAGGATAAGGGATAAACCTTTTCGACCTAACAGGAGAAATGTCTTCAGCCAGAGTGTGGAGAGCCTGTGGAATTCTCTGACACTGAAAGTGATTGTGGGGAGGGCAGGGTTGGGGTATTGATCTCTATGATCAGACTGAATGGGGGAGCAGGCTCAAGGGCCAAATGGCTTACTCCTGCTCCTTTCGATATGAATCGTAGAATCTCTACAGTATGGAAACAGTCCATTCAGCCCAACAAGTCCACATCAACCATTCAAAGAGCATCCCACCCAGACTCATGCCCCCACCCCACCCCACCCCACCCCACCCCACCCTACCCCACCCCACCCTACCCCTGTATTTCCATACTGCTAATGCACCCAGCCTGCATGTCCCTGGACACAATTAGCAATTTAGCATGGCCAAACAACCTAACCTGCATGTTTTTGGGCTGTGGGAGGAAACTGGAGCATCAGTGGAAACTTATGCAGATAAGGGGAGAATGTGCAAACTCCACGCAGACATTTGCCTCAGGGTAGAATCGAACCCAGGTCCCTGGTGCTGTGAGGCAGCAGTGCTAACCACCTAGCTACTGCGCTGCAGAATGGCCTGTTTCAATATTGTAGGCTTCTATGATTCTAGTCTATGAAACAAGGTTCAAAGGAATAGTGAAGTTGAAGTTGAGTGAATGTATATGTTTACATGCTGTAACCCTGGGAACGTTTGTAATGTTGGAAACGCAGTTGTAACGTAGGCATAGCAAGATCCAACAAACAGCATTTTATTTCAGTTCCTGATGTATGTTCATCAGGAAAGTTGGTGATAGGTCATTGGCTCTGACTGCAGGTGCAGCACTCCCTCAGCACTGACCCTCCGACAGTGCGGCACTCCCTCAGCACTGACCCTTCGACAGTGCGGCGCTCCCTCAGCACTGACCCTCCGACAGCGCCGCGCTCCCTCGGCACTGACCCTCCGACAGCGCGGCGCTCCCTCAGCACTGACCCTCCGACAGCACGGCGCTCCCTCGGCACTGACCCTCCGACAGCGCGGCGCTCCCTCGGTAGGGTGGTGATGGAGTGAGTTTGGATGTTACATTTCTATCTCTGGAGCTAGGCCTGACCGCTGACCTTCTGACCTGAGAATGTTCATTGGTTTAAAGCAACAGAGATTCCTGCCATTGGCTCAGGACTGGTGTGTGACGCCCCCTGCTGTGTGAGGATGTGGGTGTGGGTGAGGGTGAGGATGTGGGTGTGGGTGAGGGTGAGGGTGAGGGTGAGGGTGAGGGTGAGGGTGAGGGTGAGGGTGAGCCCTCACTGAGTGACAGCCGCTGAGCCAGACCCACACTTGGAGTTGGTACCAGAGGGCAGCTGGTCTCCATGGATACCGTGTCCTAAGTGGAACCCAATGCATGAAAGTGGGAAGAGCCAGTAAAGCAGCCAATGACATTTCAGTGTAAGGTGAAGACAACAACAACTTACAGAGCTGCTGAGCGAGTCCTCGATCTCTGTATACTCGAGTCGGTAATTGGCCTCAGGACCACGAAGCCAAGCGAGTGCCTCCATCGCTTCACTGTAGCGGTGTTTGGAGATTAAATAACGAGGAGATTCCGGCATGAAGTACATGAGAGTGATCATGAGGGTGGGGATAAAGGCACCAACAATAGCTAGCCATCGCCAGGAGAGGACCAGGCCTAATGGATGACAAGGATTCTGTGTTAAATTGACTCTTCAATCACCAACGTCTTCCCCCAATAATCCCCACGAATTGAACTGACTTGGACCATAAAACCACTCCCTCCACATTCTCTCCAATCCCAATGGATTAGCCCTTTTCCCATTCACTCAGATTGTGCTGCTTTGTGACACTGACCCCATGTTGCTGTGGTAACACACAGTTGTTACAAGGGTGTTGCAGCCTGGAGCTTTTCTGGAAGATGTTCCAGTATTCTCCATCCCAGGGCTAACTGGGAATCTCACTGGAATAGGACGGAATGATTTCTCATTGATCCTCAACCCCTTTGGTCACTTGATGATGACCAGCCGTGACCATATTGAGTTGCGGAGCTGGCTTGAAGGGCCAAATGGCTCACTCCTGCTCCTGTGTTCCAATGTGTACTGACAGGCCAATGTGATGGTCAGTCCCTGGCCAGGCCAGGCCTCAGAGCGGAGCTCCTGGCTACAGCAGGGAAAGATCTTCCTCATTGCTGTTGTACAGAATTGGACTGCAACAAGCAGATTCCCAATCTGTGGAATTCCTCACCCAGTGCGTACAGTAGTAGTGTTCCAAGCACAAGCATGATCTGGGGTCCAACTCCCATTCTCCCTCTTATCTTGGCCACGGAGATCTCCGCAATGTATATCTGCAGGACAGGAATGAAACTCTTCAGTACATGCTGGACAGTGACATGGCCAGGACCTGTCTCCTGTATCCGTGCAAACCCAGAGCTGCAGGTCCATCCTGCTGCTGGGATTGGCAACACAGCACACTGGGAGATCCCACATACACCTGCACCACCTTCAACTTACTCACACTGAGAGTTCTGGGGGTTCCCTGGGACTTGGGGGTGACATATTCATCGCTACCTCACTACTGACCCTCTGACAGTGCGGCGCTCCCTCAGCACTGACCCTGCGACAGCGCGGCACTCCCTCAGCACTGACCCTGTGACAGCACGGCACTCCCTCAGCCCTGACCCTCCGACAGTGCGGCGCTCCCTCAGCACTGAGCCTCCAACAGCACGGCACTCTTCTCAGCACTGACCCTGCGACAGCGCGGCACTCCCTCAGCCCTGACCTTCCGACAGTGCGGCACTCCCTCAGCACTGACCCTCTGACAGTGCGACGCTTCCTCAGCACTGACCCTCCGACTGTGCGGCGCTCCCTCAGCACTGACCCTCCGACAGTGGGGCGCTCCCTCAGCACTGACCCTCCGACACTGCGGTGCTCCCTCAGCACTGACCCTCCGACAGTGCGGCGCTCCCCCAGCACTGACCCTCCAACAGTGCGGCGCTCCCTCAGCACTGACCCTCCAACAGTGTGGTGCTCCCTCAGCACTGACCCTCCCACAGTGCGGCTCTCCCTCAGCACTGACCCTCTGGCAGTGCGGCACTCCCTCAGCACTGGCCCTCTGACAGTGCTGTGCTGTAAGAGTCGGACAGATTTTGTGCTTCTAATCTCACCTGCACGATGGGATCAGTCTGATTCTCCAAATGTTCCTGATAATGGTCACACTTAGATCTTGTTCCTCCAATGCTCCATCACATCATTCAGCTTTTTATATTCTGGATGTTTGTCTCTTGAGCCCATGGTAAGGGATGGGAATCCTATTGAAGAGCACTTTTCAAAACCACAACCACCTCCATTTAGAAGGACAAGGGGCAGCAGATACCTGGGAATACCACCACCTGCAAGTTCCCCTCCGAGCTCCTTACCATCCTGATTTGGAAATATATCACCTGTCTCGGGGTCAAAATCCTAGAATTCCCTCCCACAGGGCATTGTGGGTCTACCTACGGCACATGGAGTGCAGCGGGTCAAGAAACATTTCCAACACAACCTTTCCTTATGGCGACTGGATGAATCTGGTATTTACAGCATAGGAACAGGCCATTCAGCCCATCAGGTCCATGCTGGTGTTTATGTTTTCCCCCCCTCCCCTAACAACACCCACCCCCCCCCACCCCCCCAAGACACACATCCCACCCCCCCAGTGCCCTCTCCTCCATTCCCCAGCAGCAGTCTGCTATCTTGCTAACTCTGCCACTCAGGGCTTTGATGCCCCTTTCTCATTTCACATCTTACCGGAACAGTGCCTGATAACATTCCCCCTGCAATCCCTGTCAATGCCCGACCCAGGTCCAGCATCCATACCACCTGGGCACTGCCCATGATGGCAAATCCCAAAACGGAGGGCACACTGGACAACATGATGGTCAGCTTCCGTCCAAGGAGATCATTGAGGAGCATGGTGGTGAGCCCTCCAAATATAACGCCCAAGGTGAAGATGGACTGTAAGAGTAAAGAGAAACCACAGTCAGGCTGCAGAGAGAAACAACACACAGGAGCACACTGAGGGTGTAACAACCACATCTTATTATTAATCTGTACTTTTGGTCATGGACTGAATTGGGAAAAGGACTGTTTTATAAACCAAGGATGGCTGCAGCTTTTAAAAGCCGACCCAAGGTTAATGCAAGCAAGCTGGAGCCAGGGGGCCTGTACAAAGGGCGATTCGGCCAGCAGCAAGTCCCTGATTGGTCTGTGGAATGATGGCCACTTTCTGTTATTTCTTGGTTCCATCATGTGCTCCACTGGCACTCCCTAACCACCCAGAGGGCAGTTCAGAGTCAACAGGCTGAGACTATTTACCCTGGAGAGTCGGAGGCTGAGGGTGACCTGAGGGGCATGGATCGGTCTTTTCCCCAGGGTGGGGGTCCAAAACTAGAGGGCATATATTTAAGGTGAGAGGGGAAAGATTTTAAAGGGACCTGAGGGGCAACTTTTTCATGGAGAGGGTGGTGCGTACATGGAATGAACTGCCAGAGGAAGTGGTAGAGGCTGGTACAATTACAGCATTTAAAAGGCATCTGGACAGGTATATGAACAGGAACGGTTTAGAGGGATATGGGCCAAATGCAGGCAAATGGAACTTGTTCAGTTTGAGAAATCTGGTCAGCATGGATGAGTTGGGCAGAAGGGCCTATTTCTATACTGTATGACAGGTCTGGAGTCACATGTAGGCCAGACTGGCTAAGGATGGCAGGTTTCCTTCCCTAAAGGACATTAGAGAAGTAAACGGGTTTTTAGAGCAATTGATAATGGTTACATGACTAACTAATTTTTATTCAAGATTTTTATTACATTCTAATTTCACCATCTGCCATGTAGGATTTGAACCCGCATCCCTAGATCATTAGCTCAGAGTTCTGGATCACTCTGCCAGTGACAATGTCATTATCACTCCTACATACCGACTTTGGTGTGATTGGCATGAAGCCAGCTGACCAACTTCTGGATAGGAATGATTTAGCCAGAAGCCTTTGAACCTCCAAAAGGGGAAGTGCTGTGCTTTTTACTGCAGTAAAAAATAACCACTTCAAGCCTGAAGGAAGTCAATCTATTTCGCCTCACCAGTTGCAAGTGAGTCAGAGATTTTCTAAGCTGTGAACCAGTGACTCCGTGCCTCCTGCAGCAGGTGAATGTTCCTGGAGAAGAAACAAGGAGCAGCAAGTCCTGACAAACCGAAAGGATCATCTCAGTGACCACCGTGGATCGGGGGCCCATAGCGCTGTGTGTTTGTGTGTGTGTATGTGTGCGTGTGTGTGTGTGTGTGTCTGTGTGTGTGTGTGTCTGTGTGTGTGTGTGTCTGTGTGCGTGTGTCTGTGTGTGTATGTGTGTCTGTGTGCGTGTGTCTGTGTGTGTGAGTGTAAGTGTGTGTGTGT